TATTATTTGTTTTTTTTTTCATGCCCTCATCTGTTGTCAGGATGAATTAATCTGTTCACAGGTGGTTCAGTTTTTTTTCCAATTTAATTATTAATTGTTATTTGTTTACCAAACTGCTATATTGTTGCCGTTTTGAACAATTCCTTTTATTGTGTATTGTTGCAGTTATGATAATTTTTATACTGTTGCAGTTATGAACAAACTGAATCAGTATGTTGTTGCAGTTGTGATCGAATAACTTTTGGACTAGTTTTTAAATTGGAATATTGTTGCAGTTATGATCATTTAATAAAATATTTTTATACTATTGCAGTTATGAACAAATTTGCTATATTGTTGTAATTGTGCTATAATCTTTATACTGGTATATTGTTGCAGTTTTGAACAAAGAATATTAGTAAATTGCAGTTCTGAACAAACTATTGGTATATTCTTACAGTTAAGATGGTATATTCTTGCAGATAGGTGAATAAATTAATAAAACACTGTTTTGCACTTATGGCTGATTATTTGAATAAAAAGCAGTGTTCAAACAATGATAATTTCATGGTTTTTATTTAACTTTCCACAGTATTTAAGTAAAGCTCCTTTGTGAACTTTAAAAGCTGAAGAAAATACCGAAAATCTCGTAAAATGACAGCAAAAAAATATTTTTGAATTACGGAAAATTCCTGTTATTTAATGTGCCTGTTATTTTACGGTATTTTTCCGGCACCCCAGCTGCCGGAATTTTACGGGATTTTTTTTACAGTGAAGAGCACTGAAGACACAAAGGGGCAACATGAACAAAAACCAGAATGCCACTACACAACCATGACAAGCAACACAGAGACCTTACAAACATGTACAATAATATAACAGCTAAAGTAATGATGCTCAGTGTGCTTCTACCATCCCAGAATATCAAAGTGAAATCACCTGAACCACAGATGATAATGAAGAGGTCTATATAGTAAAAATGATAAACAAAGACTGCAATGTTTACACAGTGTAAGCTTGTCTTGCTAAGCTTGATTCATTTTGCCAAAAGCATGTGATCTATGACGTCCAAAGCTGTGCCAGAAAACTATGTGACTATTTTAGTATCTGATTCAAAAGAAGCAAACCCCAGCGCCTTTTGCCTTACATTACAATGCATTAAAACCAATTTTGTAATTTATATCTCTGATGTATCCACTAAAAAGAATACACGAGACGGCACGTTTGTCTTCTAGCCACCACTTTACTGCTTTTCTAACTTCTGCCCAACTGGCGCCCCAAACAAATTCCCAACATTCCTAGCGCTACTGCTACGGAATCTCAATTGTCTCAAATGCAAAATTGTAAGCATTTAATACATCACAAAATCTAAAGCCTAAATGTACTTTGCCTAAGAAACAACAGTCAAAGGACTGAGGCAGAATTATAATAGGCAGATACAGATTTCATTTATGTTTCATTTACTTTCCTTACCGACACAAATGAATCACTTTGTCAATGACCATTATTTATATACAATCAAATCAAATGAAGAATCAGCTGTAGAGCCAGGCTGAAGCTGAACACAGCAGTTTGGTACGTGCTATTCTTCTTTATGACCACTAGCTGGCCACAATGCGTTGAAAAGATTGGAGTAATGAAAGTGAGTGACATATGAAGGCCAAGTATATGGTATGCTCCATGCTCAGAATTTGTCCTCTGCACTGAACCCATCCAAGTTAGTGCACACATGAGGAGTAGTGAGCAGTGAACACACTTCTTTATTGAATGATAATTTATAAACTCAAGTGGGGAACAATAATATGCATATGAAACTATACACACTTTCCCCGTAATTACATCTCCAGTCATACATGTCAAGTCAAGTCACCTTTATTTATCTATCGCTTTTAACAATACAGATTGTGTCAAAGCAGGTTTACAGCATCAAATAGGAAAATAGTGTGTCAATGATGCAAAAGGACAATAGCAAACACTCAATTTTCAGTTCAATATAACAGAGGTGAGGCTCCTTTGGGCCATACATGTCCAGCTCTAGGACCATTTTGGTCTGCTGTGTTTGAGACATTTTCATATATTTGTGAAAAGGAGATACATCCGGATCCAATAATAGCCATATTTGGTGTGAGAACCAAACATCAATCGGATGCGTTAGCTTTCTCTTCTTTGTTGGCCCGACAGCTTATACTCATACAATGGAAGTCAAACAAACCACCAACACATATCAAGTGGGTAGAGAGTGTCATGGCATATTTAAAGTTATTACAGTTAAGACCAAAGACACGATTCTAGATCTGGAAAAGTCTGCCATTTTGATTTCTCCTACTGTCATTAATGGGAGGGACATTGAACTTGTGGATGAGTATAGATATCTGGGTACAGTGATTGATAATAGATGACATTTTGATGCTAATACTGAGGGCATCTGTAAAAACATTTGTTTTTCTTAAGAAAAAGGAATTATTGTAAAGTATGCACAGTGCTCTAATGATACTGTTTTATCAGAGCTTTATTGACTCTGTCATTGTGTGGTTTGATTGCATCAGCTTGTCTGGTAGAAACAGAATGACGACGCTGATTAAGACTGCATCCAAGGTGATTAGAGTTCAGCAGACATTGCTTCAAGTTAAAAAGCTTACGCGAGAATTAACTGTCCATCTCATCCATTACATAAAGAGTTTGTTGTGCTCCCATCAGGCCATAGATATAGAGCAAAAGGGTGGAGAACAAGGAGGTTTAAAAACTCATTCCTACTGACTGCTATTTCTACCTTAAATGGAACTCCCATTCACCCCTTCCCTTTTTATCATTCCTTACTTATGTTCTTGTTTAATTTCTTTGTTTTTGAATGATTATGTGTGAGACTGTGTTAATGTGATGTGTGACACCTGTGCAAACCAAATTTCCTAAGGGATGAATAAACTAAACTAGAACTAAACTGGATCACAGCGAGTGTCATGGCGGATGTCCAAATCCACTGTAATTTTATAAATAATACTGTTTTTGTGTCACAGAATGTAGTTTTAAAAGTGTTTAGTAACACTTTACAATAAAGGCACAAGAATAATCCTGTACTACTAATACCTGAATTAATACTTACTTCAACATGAACTCATGATTAGAGCAGACATGAGCTAATAATGAACTAATGAAGAGCTTTCTTTAACTACGACTGGAGTCATATGGGTTCATGCATGAATAACACAGTCTTAACTGCATGTTAGAACGTGTTTGATAGTTAATTCATTAATGAACATTTAGGGGTAAACTAAATCAAAGTCTCTAAAAGAAGGAATAACACATTGACAATTTAATATTGTCATAATTTAAAGTATACTATCTGCAGCTTTGTCATAAACATTACTGGATGGCACAGGATTAGTTTGTTATTATTTTCACGGATCCTCTGTATCAAATGTAGAAAATATTAAGAACACTAATATATGATCTTAAAAGGTCATGATCTGTTTTGTGTGATTCTCTTTCCCGTCAAACTCAACATTGTAAGGTTCTGGATAGTAATTCCTTCTGATGAATTTGGTAATACTCGGGTCATTACTGGTGGGTTATCATGATCTTTAGAATACTAATAGAAATAGAACACTACAAATAGAACGAGTGAAGGAACATAAATGTGTATCTATGTTAAGGACTCCAGGCAGCTGCTAAGGAATCAATCTGTTGTAACGGACAGAAGCATTAGAGGAAGAACCTGCTTTATTTGGTGCACTCTTGCATCCCTCTGTGGAATAAACAGAATAAACAATGAATACATTACTTTGACTGGTTACTTGCAATTAAAGTTACCTTAAATTTGCTTCAAAATACTTAGTGTGACTGGTATACATTCCGGTTAATGAGTTTTTAGTTTACTTTTTACAGGGCTCAACATTAAGCCTTCACTGTAAAAAATTTCCAGGATTTCACAGCATGCAACTGTGATAATAATGTAATTTACTGTGAAATATTACTTTACAGGTTTTTACTGTGATATTCACAATATAATACCGTATTCGGGAATTTCACTGTGAAAATAATGTAGGCGGAGCAGTTACAGGACACTACTGTGAATTCCGTCCCGCCTCCGTGTGCTGTGTCGTCTTACTGAGTTCTCTCGTCTCCTCCATGTTCTCATCCGAGTCCAACGGATTCAGCGGTAAGTGCTTTTTTTTTTATATGATAGTGCATGTAATTTAAAAGAATTATCCAAGTAGAGTTAGTTGTAGGTTCTGTTGTCACGTTGTTAGCGGTTAGCTTACTCGTGTAGGTTTGAGCGCGCCAATTTTTTAAACCATAAACAGTAAACCAGCAAAGGACCAGTTTAAACCAGCATCCCAGCATCAAAACATACCTAACCAGCATATGCTGTTTTTTTCAACAGGGGTTAGCTTACTTGTGTACGTTTGAGCGTGCCAATTTTTGAAACCATAAGCAGACGTTGGTTGTAGTAATTGTACCGTATTCAGTTAGTAGCTAACTGTGAGACATTAGCTAATTTTTGGAGCCTCATTTAGAAAAAAATGTCATTATCTCAACTTTAGATTTTCTTAGTGCTAACAGCGATCTTTTTCCCTGTATACGTTAGGTTCTCTCCACGTCGGTGATCGCTGGGAAATAAAGTTGTAAGGTAAGATGGCCTTATGATCGTTATTATCAACCAGAGAAATTATAGTGTTGTGGATTATGGCAAAGGTGAAGTAAATTCATCTCAAATTAGTAACGTTAACTGG